GGAACAGACAAGTTGCTGTCGTTTTGTTCTTCAATCTAGTTGTGGAGGACGCTGCTTCACTGGCCCAAGTTGGCACCATCATTGCGCTCTTCCCTGGCGAGGCAGATCAGTCGCCGGCTTCTGGACGGCCGCTCACTGCGGCTGCTGGCCGCTCACGCTGGCTGCTGGCTGCACACGGTAGCCCATGGCAACCCACTGCCACAGGGACTGCAGCCTATGCCGTCGCCAGCAACTCACGGCAGCCCAGCTCTTGGTTGAGCTGTTGTTCAGCATCTTAGCTGTAGAGGGCAGTGTTACTGGCCCTCATATGTGGGATCCGAACCGGGGCCCTCTGGCATCCCAAGCGAGTTCTTAACCATCGCGCCACTCGGCCAGCCCTGCTGATTTTTCTAATAGGGTATTTGCAAAGGGCTCTGGGGACACTGGAGGTGAGGCGACTGTTGGGACATCAGAAGAAGCTTCAGCAAGGAGGTGACTTTGAGACTGGACTTAAAGAATAAATAAGAATGGAAACAGGCAAGAGCAGGGGGAACATTTCAGGCAAAAGGAGAACATGAAAATCCGAGGAGTTGTAGATGGGACTGTTGTGTTTGAGTGTAGAATAAAATGGCCAGTGGGGATGGGCATTAGGAACTAGTGGCAGGGATGAGGCGGGGGAAGGTAGTTGGAGCTTAACTGTGACGGACACTCTCATAGATTAAAATGCAAAGCTAATGGTCAGGGGTGCATAGCTGCACAACTCCAGGGGTGCTATTCATAGCATAGCTTAAGCGAATGGTGTCCTGGGCTTGTGGCACACACAGCCTGTGTGGCTGTACCCATTGGCTCAGCTAATGGTTGTCGAGTGATCACTTCTAGAAGGTATACTGACAGCTTTGTGTAGTTTATCTTACTTAATTCTCACAAATCCCCTATGAAGTGAATTCTATTTTCATTCCCATTTTATAGATGAGGAAACTGAGGCACAGAGAGGTAAGCCTGTGCAGCTACAAATGGTGGAATTGGAGCTTAAGGCAGAGTGCTTCCCAACTTTTGTCACATATGGCACTCACAAGAAGTGATGTTTTATGACACAATAGGGTAAATTATAAAGCTGCTCAGAATCTGAAAGGCCCTGGCTGGGGGATTCCTATGTCACAGGCTGCATCCTGGCCTCCCTGATGGCTGAGGGGGTGCCCAGGGTCTTGTCACGCCATTTCCGCAGCACCCTGGGTGGCACATGGAACTCAGCTCTAGGGAATACTCTTGAGGTCGCTTTTCCAAACAAATTTCGGTTATATTACGATTACACTCTTAAATGTGGTGCAGGAAAAACATCTTATTTATTTTAGGGCTCTAGATAGTTGGGGCTCGGTTTTGTAGTTTTTTAGGTCAAGGGCAAAATGATTGTGGAAAAAGCATGGGCTCTGGAGATAGACAAATCAGGTCTTTGTCACGTGACCTTGGGCAAGGTATTTGCTGTCTCTGAGCCTCTGTTTCTTTATTGATAAAATGGATATAATAAATGAGCACTGGATTGATTTGTTGCATTATATGCAGTTTATGTAAAGCAGCTGGCACTGCCCCTCAGTAAATGCAAGCCTCTTTCTTTCTTTCCTCTCCTCCCCCCACTCTGGATATTTCTGATTGTGAACCACAGTGATGCCATGCTGGAGGGCAGAGGTGTGGGGAGAGCCAGGCAATAATCATCAATCAAAACCACTTATCTTTGGCCAGTTAGCTCAGGTGCTTAGAACACAGGCTCCTAACACCAAGGTTGCTGGTTTGATTCGCACGTGGGCCAAGGAGCTGCACCCTCCACAACTAGATTGAAGACAACTACTTGACTTTGAACTGATGGGTCCTGGAAAAACATACTGTTGCCCAATAAAAATTTTTTTAAAACCACTTATTTTTATTTATGGGGACATTGCTAGTGACACCACCATTTCTTTAGAACTCCTTTCTTACGAAAGTACTGATGAGCTTTGTTGGCAGAAGTTCACAGGTGTCGAGACTGTCCATGGAAACAAACAGAGCTGTCCCATAAACAGTTTCCATTATTCCCACACTTGTTTTCATGTGGTCATCTTCATTTAATTATTTCAATATTTTCATTTATTTTATTGAGGTATAAAGAATATACAACATAAAATTTACCAGCATAACCATTTAAAAATTTTTTATTTTTATTTTTATTTTTTTTAGCTGAGTCATCCTGTCACCTGTTGGCAGCTCAGCGGCAGCTCAGTCAGGCTGGGAATCAAACCAGCAACGCTGTTGCTCACAGCTCACACTCTTGAGCGAGCTCTTAACCAACTGAGCCACTCAGCCAGCCCCAGCATAACCATTTTTAAGTGTACATTTATTTCACTAGTGTTAAGCATATCCATATTGTTGTGAAACTAATCTTCAGAACTCTTTATCCCGCAGATCTGAAACTATATCCATTGAAGAGCAATTTCCCTTGGCCCCATACCCCAGCCCTAGCAACCACCTTCATCGTTTAATTTTTCACAAGATAATTCAGTTTCCTAATAAGAAGAACATTCTGCCCTGCTAGTCTAGCAAGTTGCTTTTGGAATCATGACAAGGTTAAATAACTCCTGTGTTAGAGGCTGATCAGAATTACTGTGTCATTAAAAAAACAAAAAAGTATTCAGAAGAGACGAAGATTGGTGATACTACTTGAAGACACATATAGCTCACATAACATCCAAATCCTTTTTATTTCCTATTAGTTGATTTATCCCATGTTCATCCAGTGGTCTGAAAGGACCCTAAGTTTCACAAGTTCCCTAAAAGGCATATTACTGACTTTGATATACAGATCAGGCAAAGTATCAGGAAATGACTAGTTCATGATCAAAGAGTGAGAGTTAGTAGAAAAACTCCAGCATCTGGACTTCTGCCATTGAAAAAACAATTACACTCCCCTCCCTGGTACACCATGGAGAGATCGACACCTCCCAAACCCACCTGAGAAATCCTTGGGAAATGAAAACAACGTGGCATCTCTTGTTAGGTTTAGTCCCTTGCGCTAAGAAGGGCTTATGCATGCTAATCAAGAAAAGATAGAATGGGGCCAGCCGAGTGGCGCGTTGGTTAAGAGCTGGCTTGGGATGCCAGAGGGCCCCGTTTTGGATCCCACATATGAGGGCCAGTGACACTGCCCTCTACAGCTAACATGCTGAACAACGGCTCGACCTGGAGCTGGGCTGCCGGGAGTCGCCAGCGACGGCAGGTGGGTTGCCGTGGGCTCCTGTGTGTAGCCAGCAGCCAGCGTGAGCGGCCAGCAGCCGCTGTGAGCGGCCGTCCAGAAGCCGGTGACTGATGTGCCTCACCCAGGAAGAGAGCAATGATGGTGCCAACTTGGGCCAGTGAAGCAACATCTTCCACAACTAGACTGAAGAACAAAAGGATAGCAACTTGTCTGTTCCCCTTCCCCAATAAAAATCTTAAAAAAAAAGAAAAGATAGAATGACTCTGAGTGAGCAGAAAGGAAAATAGTAAGGAGTGACAGCCAAGGGGTGTTTTTTCCAAACTGTAAAATCAGGTTTGTATTATTCATTATTGTCTGCATGGTTCTGGCCAATTCATAGAACATTAATTCAAGGCCCATTTTCCCAATAAATTGCAACAGGAAATAGAAATCAGCCCACAACAATTGCGCAGGGAAGAAACCTTTCACAACTGGTTGGGGCCGTCATTATCTCTGCCTTACCCAGGTGTTGTCAGGCGGCAAGTTGCCATTTTTATTTTCTCGTGTGTGTGTGTGTGTGTGTGTGTGTGTGTGTGTTGAGATGTGTGCTGATTTCCCATCCCCAAATGTCTTCTTTTCTTCTGTGGAGGGTGGGTTCTAAGATGTGTTGCTGTAGTAACAATGTTCTGGCTGCTCCAATGTCCTTTTCTTGGTAACATGTTGGTGAATTGGTGTTGCTGGGCCCTTGCCCAGAAGATAAAAATCTGCTTTCCTTGGCCATCCATGCCTCTGTTTCTTGAGACACAAGCAGTGTTTGTCTTTCTGCTGGTGGGCCCTTCCTTACTCATATTGACTGATGAGATTTTTCGGGATGCCACACCCTGGCTGACTTCCTGGGTTAGCAGGTGTGAACAAACCATGGCTTGAGGAGGGGCTCTGGTGGACTCTCAATGTCCAAAAGGAATGGAACTTCATCAGTAGGTACACTTCAGAAGTGGAGATTATGGTAATTGCTGTTGAAGGGAATAAAACTGTGTGCCTTGATGCAGCATATATACTTTATTTGTGTAATGCTCGTTAATATGCAGTCCAGTAGGTGTTGTGGGATAAAGTGTTCCGAACACCATGGCTAAAGATCCATGCATATTGCTGCCCTATAATTTATGGGAATGATGTGGGGACATGTCCTTAATGGTGTTCCATGTTAGGCAGGAGACTGTTTGTGGGGGTCTGATTCAGAACACGTGGTCTGGTGGAGCCCTGACATCTTGAAGCCCAGACAGTTCTCCAACTCTCCTCGTGACCGAGGTTCTGATGTGGGTGCTGGTTGGGAGTCCTGGTGAGAAAGTGTGTTTTGAAGCAGTTAACTATTGAGCTTCCTTTTGATTTCTGTGTTACCTATCTGCATATGTGGACAAATACAAAGTTCATTGTCTTCTATTTAAAATGTACTGTTAGGTTAATACCTATTGTTAAGTGCTTATTGTATATCAGACTTTATACACACATGTACTAAGTGCTTTATACAATAGTCTTATTTATTCCTGAAACAGCCCCATTGGGTAGTAATCCTATTATTCTCCCCATTTTATAAATGAGGGAACAGAGGCTTGGAAGTTACATGGTTTGGTCACAGAGTAAGTGGCAGAAGCAGGATTTGAACTCAGTTCTATCTGGTTTCAAAGCCCACACTCCAAACTGCAAGTGAGACTGCCTCTACTTTAAGTATTTGAGTTCGAGTGATTTATTTTCTTCATGTCCAGCGTGGTCTCCAAACAACCCCCTCCTTATACCTCTTACTTCCGCTTCTCAAACACAGGCCCGGCTCCTCTTCTGCTCAGAATGAATAATGGTGGATGACTGGATGACATCCCCAGCGGCCTCCCACGGTGAGCTCCCCAGTCCAAACCAAATGGTGAGATCAAGCCCATTGGGGGTGTCATTTCCTCACCCCTCCAAAAGTAATTCAGTTGTTTCTGCTTGTCAAATGCTTCTGTTTCCTCACTAAGCCCGTATTAGTCATTGGGATATGTCAGTATGTGAATGGATTTACTGTGTTCCAACAGCTGCTGAGCTCCAAGCACATGCCCCACACATGGCAGAAACAGGAGCTCTGCGGGGGCTGCAGAGCAGCAAACAACCAGGGTCCCCACAATTACGTCTAGTCCCTGAGACAGAGAGGATGTGAGGGGGAGAAACTGTCATTCCACTATTCAGAAGTGATGTGTCCCCATGCAGCCCCCACCTTGGCAAAGCGATGAGGACGTTTTCTGTACGGGGAGGAGACAACCCTATAAAAACTTCCTCTCTGAGGCACGGATCGTCCCTACTCGGAACAGAGCCCATCTGTCCAACAGTGTCTGAAATAACACCGGACTGCCAGCAAAGGAGTGCCCATTGTCACATGCACATTTGGACCGCAGGTAGTCCACATGGGCCCCTGTAATTCAAGTCAAAACAGCCTCTTCTGTGACACGGAGGCGGGGAGTGAAAGTGGTAGTTGTGATTTCAACAACCTGGAGGATTGTTTTTCTAAGAATTTCTGCCAGTGGCCACTGAGGATTCTTTGTGTGCGGCACCTACAGGAGATCTCGAAATTTAGGCAGCTATCAAATTCCAAATGAAACACCTAGGTACCGCTGGTGTGCTGGAGAGGCAGCCTGGTCATACAGATTTGTGTTTGGGAAAGACCAGAATTTGACTGTACTTGTTGCCTTTATGGAAACCCTCCTCACAGGCTTTCCCAACATCACAAATTAGATGCTGGCGTTTAAAACTAAACGGCCCACAGAGCTCAGGAAATAGTCTGCTTTGAGCCTCTGGCCTCAGAATTTTCTAGAGTGGGCTGTTATCCAGTTATGTGGAGATTATTTTTTTATTGTTTTTACAAAGTGGGACCTTTAGCTCCCATCTGGCCTTTTGTGACTCCTTTTTTGGAGGTGAGCACTGGTCAGATTGTAGCAAACATTTTCTCCTTTCCCAAATACCAACTTTAACGTCAGGGAGGGAAAGAATCAAGATGGTGTCCTCCGGGATTGAGGTTTATAAAAGATGTCTTACTGCGTGGCATTGTAGCTGAACATGGGCTGTGAATGAGGGTACTGGCTTCATATCCTGAATCTGTGCCTCTCCGGCTTTGGGACCTTGGGAAAATGACTTCGCATCCTCAAGTCTCAGCTCTTTCATCTGTATAGTGGGGATAATGGTAATGAGAACTAACTTGTTAGATTGTTGTGTGAATTTAAAGGACTTAATTAACAAAATGCTTAATACAGTACCTGGCACATATGAGCACTTACTACATTACTAGAGTATTGTCTAAAGATGAAGATGGAAATTGCTTTTTGAGGTTAGTTTTGTCCACTTTTCCCTCCTGAGGGGATGTAAGATTTACTGTTTGGTTTTGGGGGGCTGGAATTTGAGCACAAACACAGGCCACAGAAAGACAGAAGGCCAAGCCATTGTGAGGTCAGTGGGGACAAGCTGAGGTGCTGACAATGGGGAGATGAGGTGCAGAGCTGTGAGTCCTTCTTGCTGCTGGAGAGGGACAATGTCCAAATGAACAGGCCAGGGACCAGTTAGGGGTGTGGGTCGGGGTTAGGGTCCAGATGGTTGCTCTTTGGGGTGCAACCCCAAATGGATGGGTAATGTGTTTTAAGGATGGCAGAAATGAGGCTGATTAAAAAAAAAACAACTGTTGTAGTAAAATATATACATAACATACAATTTACCGTTTTAACCATTTTTAAGAGTGCAGTTCAGGTCATTAAGATCATTGACGTTGTTGTGTAACCATCACCACCATCCATCTCCAGAAATTTTTTTATGTTCCCAAACTGAGACTCTGTACCCACTAAACACTTAACTCCCCATTTCCCCCTCCCTGGCCCCTGGCAACCACTGTTCTATTTTCTGACTCTCTGAATTTGATTACTCTAGGAACCTCATGTAAGTAGAATCATACAATATTTGTCCTTTTGTGACTGTTCGTCAATATCGTCAATATTGTAGCATGTGTCAGGTTTTCTTTTTTTTCAAGGCTGAATAATATTCTGTTGTAAGGATATACCACATTTTACTTATCCATTCATCTGTTGATGACCATCTGGGTTGTTTCCATGTTTTGGTTATTGTGAATAATGTTGCTGGGAATGCTGATGTACAAGTTTGAGTCACTGCTTTCAATTCTTTTGGATATATACCCAGAAGTGGAATTGCTGGATCATATGGTAATTCTATGTTTAATTTTTAGAAAAACCGTATACTCTTTTCCATAGCAGTTGCACCATTTTACATCCCTACCAGCAGTGCACAAGGGTTCCAATTTCTCTACACCTCATTGATACTTATTTTCTGTTTAAAAAAAATTTTTTTTATTGATAATTTCCATCTTAATGGGTGAGAAATGGTATCTCATTGAGGAGGACTGATTTTTAGAGGAGCCATTAAAGAATCAGTCTCTAAACAAAAGGCTCAGTTAGCACAATGTCTGGCACACGTTGACTGTTTAATAACTGACCCTCCCTTAAGGAACTGGCATTTTGATTGTGTAGGACCAAGTTGTTTTTACTCCCTGGATTCTTAGCTCTCTTTGGGGGTAGACCCTATTTGGAGACAGGTGGCAACCTTGACAGTGAGGTTTTTGTGGGCACCAAAATGTCCATCTGGTCCTAAAGGTGGTCTTTATCAGGTTAGCATGGCACCTGACATCCCCAGCAGGAAGGTTACCTGTTAACATGGAACCAAGTTGCTGGGAGGAGCAACACAACACGTCAGTGTGAGTGTAGTGGCTGGCTCTCACCTGGCAGAGTCCTGTCAGGGACTGTGGTCTGGGCATTCGTGTTATGAAAGGCAGGGAGAAGATGTGAAGCTGGAGACGTTGTTCAGACAGCAGAAGCCAGGCAGCGTGGGATGGAAAGGAAGCTCTCCAACAGTCCAGGGGTGGTGGATTGTTTAGGGCCAGCACTTCTGTTCCTGGGTCAGTGGCTGCAATAGGGGAAATGTCCCCACTCGTGTTATAATTCCTGTGTGGCTTCTCCATACCTTTGCACGATTCCCACTCACTCCATGACCTCTTGGGAATCTCCGTCTCCCATTCACCTTCTTTCTCTCCTGTCTTGAGTGTATCCTAGTACACACGTCTCTCTACTTCCTAGCTTCCTCTCACTTCTTTGAGTCTTAGTACTGGTATTTCTCACCACCTGGATCTTTACTAGACAATCGAAAAGGTTTGATGTAGCCTTGTTCTAGATGGAAAGTAGCTTCAGGCTAAATGTGCCAGGTGGGATTTAGAGAAAAACAAGGATTGTAGAGAAGCCAGGTATTGGTTCTTTCTACATTTGTGAACACATTGCTGCAGTTGATGGGGGATACAAGTGACAGAGGCACTCACTCCCGCTCTTGAGGAGTCTCTTGTGTGGCCAGAAACACAAATGTGGAAGCCAGTGATGTGGACAGTTTAAGTGTGATGGGAACTATAACGAAGGTCATGTAGGGACCAGTAGGGGCACAAAGGAGCAGCTGGGGGTGGGTGGGTCAGGAAAGGCTTCAAAGAGAAGGTGACACACAATACACTCAACTCTGGTACAGCATGACATAACTGGGGTTTGGAACCTCCCAGAACCCCAGAACAGGAACCCACCGTGCTAGTTTATATGTGGAATTATTTCTCTACTCAATTTTCCTATTGTGCATTTATGCTTTAAGAGAGACAATATATTGGAAAATGAAAGGCCCTCAGCTGGGGTTCCAGGCAGACCTTCATATGCTGGATCTCACAACATAACAGTTGCTTTACACACGTTTCCCTATGGCTTAGTCCTCACGGGACTCTGTTGGGAGATTTGCAAACTGATGCTTATGCTTTGAAAACCCTGTGTCGAAAACCATATTAGGTTAGTATCAAGTAGAAAGCATTTCTTATTTACTTAGAGATGGTAAAAAAAAATAAAAGTGTATATCAAAGAAGCTTTAGCTATTGGGTTGATCAAAAGGAAAATGAAAAGATGTGAAAACCTTATACTTTTTTTTTTTTTAAGATTTTTTATTGGGAAATTGGGGGGATGGGAACAGTGCTGGGGAGTTGGGGGAAGGGGAACAGACAAGTTGCTGTCGTTTTGTTCTTCAATCCAGTTGTGGAGGACGTTGCTTCACTGGCCCAAGTTGGCACCATCATTGCGCTCTTCTCTGGCGAGGCAGATCAGTCGCCGGCTTCTGGACGGCCGCTCA